AAGCGAAAACATCTTAAAATGTTCCGATTACTACTTTGTTAACATTTACAGAGGAATTACACAGTTTAGCTACGCTGACAAGCTTTCTAGTTTAACTTTTTTTAAAAGAACATCGAGTATCCTAGGAACGAAGGAAAAAATGTTTATGTTCGATGATTTGTTACTGACTGTAAGGCGTACATGTAGGCATGTAGCGAATTCGACCATTGAGGTTCGGTCTAGTGTGTAGTAGGCTACTTTAGTCTTATTGAGTGTTTTGGTAGCAGAAAACCCTTTTTCCGGTCTCAATATTTGGATAGATTTCAAAATAGATAATAAGATATAAACTACCTTGATCATAATAAAAACATATAGGTATTTTCTCTTAGAGACGTTTTGACAGCCAAAACGTCTCTAACAGAAAATACCTATATGTTTTTATTATGATCAAGGTAGTTTATATCTTATTATTTTGAAATTTCCCACCTAAAAGAATAATTCAATGGATAGATTTTGATAGTTTTATGAAGTAATTTGTAGCTCAAAATTTAAACTATCAAAATATGTATTTTGAATTTAAATAAAATGAAGTTTTGTCTATAATTTTATCAAAAAAATTTGCTACTTTCTAAATTTTCCCCGATGAGATTTTGACTTGCTGACTATACCCAATAATTGACATGAAAAATTTTTTAACTACATAAAAAGATAAAGCAGAAAGAAAATTACATCTTCTCTATAATATGGGCAAAATTTGTCATAATCGACACTTATTTTGCATGAATCGATCTCTTGAGAATCAGGTTATTGATCTATAAAGATACTTTTAATCAAGGAAACTTTCCTTAACAACCTTAAAGATCCAGAAGAACTCGAGGACCTTAAATGAGTGAGTATAAAGCTAAAGTTTACCCTGATTCTAACTAATACAGATAATTATAAGAGATTAGGAAGAATGCAGTTCGATTCAGCTCATCGAGTTCTATTTAATGGTTTTAATATGATTGTTTCCGGTTTGTCAGTATGATTTCTAGATTCAAAATATCTAGAGGGTCGAGAAAATGTCCGCCGTTTCTTCCATTGAGATTTTTGTTTTTAGCCATGTAACAAATTGTAGAAAAAATATTATTTTATAGACAGTTTGATATTGCTCTATCAATCGGACGAAACACGCCAGATTTTTTTTTACCTGTCACTTGGTTTTTTATTTTGTGTAACTTTTCTAACTCAAATTTTTAGTTTTTAGGATCACAATTCATTTACTAATTCTGTCTTGGACTGTTCACTTCAAATAACAATATTTTTGCTCATGACATTGACATTTACCAATTAGCGATGCCATACTGATTTTTCTTATGTAGACTATACTCGTAATTTGACATTGAGCTTTTATATTCTCACTTATTCGTATTATTCTTACTATTGTATTGTAATTGTTGAGCAGTATTGATCAGTTCATTTTCAGTGATCTGCATGTTAAAACGTTGAAGTATTGGTACTATAGATGGTAATTGTAAACGACCAGTGGGATCCATATGTTGAAACGCTTCTAAAATTGATAATAAAAAGCTCAGTAAAAAATAAAGTATCATATGATAATAATAGATAGCTAACCGTTCAATTGGCGAATTGTCATTTTTTCATTAGTCAAACCTCCGTTTGTACTATTAATGCCTCTCTAAAAAAGTCAAGAAGGAAATCATATATAGTTACAATACCAAACTGATTTCATTTATTTTACCAACATATGACCATTTTCTACGGGTTTTTGCTCATTTACTGTTCCATTTGATATGACAGGTTGTGACTGATAATGATTCTGTGAAGTACGATGATGACGATGATTATGGTGATGATGACGATATTGTTCAATAACAACATTAGATTGTTTTTGTTGATTATTTAAAGATTGATCAATGCTTCGATCTCTTATATTCATTGGCATGACCATTTGTGATTGATGGCGCAATCCTGGACCCGCATCAACACTTCTCGCACGATATTTTGAACGTTTATAATCTGCTTGTAAAGATAGTTGTCCTGGTGCCGCTATTGGCATCCGGCCATTTCTTATCGAACTAGCTGCATTGAACCAAGATTGATTTACAGAGTTATATTGTGGTCCATTCATTACATAAGCATTACCCGGATGATGAAATCGAAAGTTGTTGACAATTGGTGCTGAATACATTGAAGTGTTAAACGCTGAACCATTCGGTCGACCACTTTGATGGGAACGAAGGCCACCACTACTTGGTGTTGAAGGAGTGAGAAGTGAATTTAAACGTGGAGGAGATGCTGAAGGTCGAACACTTGGTTTTTTAACGTTAGGCCGAGGACCATAGTAAAATGAAGGATGTTGTGCAATAAATGGAACTTGTTGATGTGACGGTTGCCACGGTGTCGGATACAAATTTGGTCTAAATGGTCTTAATGACGGTTGGTTGACAGCAGCAAATATATTTTGCTGTGATGGCCAATAGGGATTTGGCATATAGGGATTTAATGGTAGTGTTGCTGGATTCCATTTTGTCTTTCGAAATGCTAGCGCAGGCAGTTTTCCCTGCATATATTCTTCATGAATTGTTTTATAACTACTAGTATGGCTACCTTTTGATGAACGATGTTGTAAAACGGTTTTATGAGTGCTCATTTCCTTTGATTTTCTGTGTTGTCGTTTTTGAGAATTATTCGATGTAAATGATGAGTTTGAAGGAGACGTTGCTGGTGATCGACGTCGATTTTTACTGCTTTGACGTGATTTTGTTTTACCACTATCGTTCGATGTGCTTCGTCTACTATATGTTTTTGATGACACATTGCTTTGTCGACCTTTTGATAGTTTTCGTATATCCTTGTCTTTCGAATAACGTGCCGAATGACCATTTTCATATTTTTGAGTTCCATTAGAGATTTTTCCGGATGAATATGATTGATAATTGTTTGGCATTTGTGTTATGTTTGCATGTTGTGTAGATAACGATGAGGGCGGTGGTCGATCTGGTCGTTCTTTACTACGATTTCGACTATCTTTGGAATGTGTACGACTATGACGATGATGTTCATCATTTCCATTAAATTTTGAATGTTTCAATAAACCATCGGTACTTTGACGTGATTCTGAATGATCTCGTTTATTATTATTATTATCATTAAGTGTATCTTCTGATGCATTATCTTGTTGATCATACGTTGTGCCAGTGATAGGTGTTGTTACTTGTTCACTATTTGTTACTGTCGGTAATTTTGTGTTTGTATTCTGTTTACTATCTATTTGAGATTTCGTTTGACCTTCACCAGCTTTTGCTGAACGTTTTTCAACTAATATAACACGTTCAACATCCGCTTCATATTTAACTTTAACTTTATATTTTCCTGTTTTATATAAATCCAACGCCGCAGGATAATCTTTTAGCAGAGTTTCTATTTCTTTCATGTTTTTAACACTACGTGAACCTTCCATGGTGGATTGAACTAGAAACATATCGTATTAATACAATATCTAGCAAATAGTTTTAGATTTTCTATGGAGAAAACTACATACATTGAGCTTTTGTATACGGTCCACTTTGAACAGCTGTTGAGGCATTCAACGGTTTACTAGTAATGGCAGGCATGTTTTACAAACAACTAAATGTTAATAAACACGTAAACAATTGTAAATAAATTATCTGATGTTTCATAGAGCGAAAAATAAAAAATGTAATTCATGTAATTTACTAGATACCTTTACGTAAATAGCTCTCAAGGTTTTATTGATTATTCTGACGGTGATGCCCACTATTTATTAGACGTAATTTATATAAAAACTGCTACACTACTTAAATAAGCGAAAATAATCATAACCTATGCTAGTAGACATCATAAAGAATGAAAATTCATCATTCTAAGGGTAAAATTCATAGTTTTAATGTTCTATTCCACCATTGTATAGTGTTCTTTTCTGCTTTGATTCTTTTCTGTTTAAAGAGAAATGCAAATTGTCTCTAATGGGAACTTCTCAGACATTTACTAATTTTGATATTATCTATATTGTTGACAGAGAATCTTTCTGTATAAACTGTACATAATAAACTAGGTACGTTAATTCGTGAAGAATAAATGACTATAAAATTCTACGTATTGGATACACTTGACATATATTAAATTATTCCCAGTCACAAGATACGGTAACTGATCACAATCTCATTCCCTTTCTTATGTGGATATTCGATGCTCTAGCAGAAAAACAGTTATCTTACACCTTCTGATTCGAGATGTTACAAATCAAATATGATAGATAGTAATTAAAAAAGTATGTCGAACGGTAGACTAATGCTAGATCATTAGGTTTTTTCTTAAAAAACAAAGCATCTAGAAACCTTGTCTAGGACAAGGAGAACAATACTTATTTCTCAAATGCAGTTTTATTAACGCTAAAAATATATAAAAAAAGATTAATTAAATAAATTTTAATTTTCAAAGAGAATAAAAACAAAACTTTTTTGTAAAGTAATAGCTATATTTTACGTATTGACGCCTAACCAACAACAAAATGACAAGTCAACGAAATATATTAGTGTTTTATTAGTTGTCAATTTCTGTATATGTCAATATCAGAAATCATTCATAAATACATTAATTTGTGCGATATTTTTCACCTTCTAAAAACATTAACTATCAAGATAACAATCATAAACAAATGATTGAAAACTCGCATTGTCTCACACTAAAAGGTGTTTGTTTGAGGTTGAAAACGTATCGGAACAACTAACAATATATGGTTAACTGTAATTTCGATGTTCCCAATTGACACATCAAATTAGTTCGTCAAACTAAGAATCGTTTTTCTGTATGTCTCCCATGGGATAGATAGTCTAAAGTGTGTTAAGACTATATATTCATGCAAAAGGCAGTCCTCTTTCACATTGCGTCAGTATATACGATCTATTTACTATAATATATTCTAAGAACCCATCGTCCGATATAGAGATGTACAACCCGACCCATACCCGTACCCGATCCGACCCGAAGGTTGGGTACGGTACGAAGTTGTCGGATACGGGTACAGGTTCTATTTTTTTTAATTTACCCGAAAACCGAAAGGTTTTAGTGAAAAACCCACAAAATTTTAGTGAAAGACTACAGGAATTTAGCTAACATACATGAAGGTCTAAAAAAGAATTACTTGAGAACGTAATGATAATTTGACATCTTCAGCCGAAAAACAAAAGTTTTTAGCTGGAAAACAAAAAGGAGAAAATTTTTAGGTATAAATCAATTACCGGTCGAGTACGGGTACGAAAATGGTACCCGTGCACATCTCTAGTCTGATTTGATACTCTGAGTGGTTTTTCAGTAGTTCAAGCATCGAATGTAATCATGTAATCGTATTCTGAGAGTTTCAAATGGTTTGATTAGGTTTGGAACTAAATAATACTTTGTATTTTTACGTCCACCGGGTAAAACTAGATTGTGTTCTCAAAAACCAACACTAAGTTTTCTTTCTTTTATTCAACAACAAATATTTCCATGCGATTTAAAATGATCGATAACCTCTGTTATCATCGTTCGTTGATGTTACTGAAGGTCAGTTGGGATCAATCTTAAAGTTCCTCGAAAAAACTGATGTCTCGCCTAAATAACAACAGATGGAAACGTTTTACTTGAACGTGTAGAAGATACTGTGAGCTATCGACACATCTAGGAAGACATATAGTAAAAAAACAGAGGCTTTTCGTTTGACAATCTAATTTTCCAAAAATTCTACACCATCTGTCGAAATGTTTTTAAGCTCAATTTTTTCATACAAAGAGGTGTGCTAAAATGTGGCTAAAAAAAGAATAAAAACCACAACATTTTTTCTCTCTTTCTAACCAAGGTTATTCAAAAATGCCTGAGACCGTTATTTTCTTTCTAATAAATAACTGTCAACATGACCGATATTAAAAAGGATAGATTAACGACAAGGTGATCTTCCAGGTTATTTTATAGACAAATTGCTTTAGCTCTTTATTTTCTAAAGAAAAAAACTGCAATAATATTAGTAGTATTGTTTGTACGTACTTATACTATCTTATTTTGAAAAACAAAAAATAAATAGTAATAAATAACGACATACCTAAAAAAACGTATTAATGGTGTCGAATAATTTTTTCGTATATATTTTAATAATAACCCGTATTGTATGACTCTACACTAAAACACATCTTTTGATTATGAATGTAATTCGGCGAGTACAAAGTAAAAAGTGTGACTGTATGACTGAATGTGTATATATACGTGTACGTAATACGTGTAAATGGGATGAGAACGCTTTTATTAAGGTTTTGAAAATGAAGAAACTTATGGGACGATGGACTGGTTATTAATGAAGGAAGATACACGTATTATAACTATAAGACAGATATTTAAATGTGCATATTGAAAAGAGAGACAGAGAGAGAGAGAGAGAGAGAGAGAGAGAGAGAGAGAGAGGAAGAGAGAAAGAGAAAGAGAAAGAGAAACAGAGTAAAAGTGAGAGACCTGTACTCTTTATTCAAACTAACAAATGGTCACACATGAATGACTATTTGTGATGGTTTGTGATCGTTCATCTGATGACGATTTGTGTGTGTCGCAATATGTTCTTCTCATTATCGTCTAAACACACTATAAAAAAGAACTTTACATAAATAACTTTTTCTTCTAAAATACAAATCTATAGAAATACCGGATGTAATATTCAAAATCCTATTTTACTTAAAAATATTTGATATGAAAAACTAAGAACCATGCAAAATTATTATTTTTTTCAGAATGAGTTTATTTTTAATATCTGATAATAATTGTTTATTCAGTAAACTGATTTATTTCGTCATTCAGTTATATTCAATTTTAGATTTTTTTAAACGATATCAACTATGAATAAACGGCTTGTCATTTTTTTCTTCCTTTCATTAATAAAATAAAATATGAATGTGAAAACTAAAGTAAAAATTGTGTCAAATATTGTCGACCGATATTCAATCTATAAATTGTATATTATTATCTTTTAAACAAATCTCTAACGTTCACATAATGAAGTAGAAACAGGTTAAATCAGTCTACTGTAAATGGATTAAAAATGAACGTTATTCGCTCTAATTAGTAGGAAAAAAAATAATAACACATCCATTAGTCATTCAATGTGTACTTATGACGCGTGCTGATAAAACAATTGACATAGAATGATCATTTCCACACGACATCATACACTCTCATTTTTCAAATCATTAAAAAATTATTTATTATTCATTATTTTCATTCAAGAATATTGAGAGTATTGCTCTCTGGTCAAATATTAGCCATACCATCTTTGACTCATACTAAAATGTTAGCTTATTACTAAATGAATCAGATTTCTCTTTTAGAAATTTTTTAGAAAAAAAAATCAAGTAAAATAGAACATAAATAGTAGTAGTACACACACTTAAATGAATTATTCTAGATTACAGAGAAGATGATAATAGTCTTTGGTTCAAGAAATTTTTACGAATCCATATCTGAACCAAAATACATATACATATTCCAAACAAAAAATATTTATATAAAATTTTATAAACTATCTAATTAATCTACTATACATAAAATCGTTGAAATCTAAAGTAATAAAATTTGCAAAAAATTTCTATTTGTTACGTGAAACAATAAAGTTATTTCTTACATAGAATACAATAATCATTCTTTGAACTTCATGTTATTCATTTTAATATTATTATATATTGATATCATCGCTTATTATTTATAATCAGAGAATAGTTTCAATAATACGAAAGAATGATACATAGACATAAATTCGATTTCCATTTGTTCAAAACAAGACTATGATCAATTTTATGATTAAATATAGAGTTGATCAATCTTAATTTTTTCTATTTCTTAACTAAGATATGTTATCATCATTGTTAGATGAAATTTTTAATAAATCATTTTCAAAATAATCAATCACATTAACAACAACATTATAAACTTTTTCTTCTACAAATGTTTTTCATATTTGTGTAAGCTAATTGAAAATTATGATACAAACAAAATGACCAGTATATATTTATCTATTCATATGTTTGTACTATAGATAACAATTAAATCAATAATTACAAATTAATATTTGATTAATTCAGTAAATAATACAATACTAATACTTCATGTAATACACACACACACACACACACAATAAGACCAACTTCAGAAAATATTTTTACTCATATATAAGTTTATTCTTGCTTTTCCATTCTTTCAACACCTATGAATAACATTTTTTTGTTTTTTGGAGATGACATGGTTAGTTATTATCTAAAGATTGATTCAATTATATTATGAAATATTTTTGATCATTATGTCGATGATAAATGATGGATTATTTTGGTTAAAAATGATATCCGTAGGCAACGTTTCACATAACTCGATGATAGTAAAATATATTAATACAACACTTGTTATTAAATGGATCTGATATAATTTTACTCTATACAATGATAAGCTACATATATATATTTGTATAATAAGATAAAGCCCGGTATGCAACAATATTAATAGATTTAAATAACACGTAGATGAATACAATTAGTGTTGATAAAGTAATAATTAACCTAATTATAGACTATGTTAAATCGTTTAATAATGATACGTGAGTATAGCTTATATTATTTTTGCAAGACAATAGGCGTGTTACATGAGAAAACGAACTCCCAAAATGCTGATCCTATTGAGCTAAAACTCGGGTTGTAAGAGTTTTGAACTATACTCGTTCATTTGGACCACTTAGTTTTTTTTCAAAACGCGTAGATGTAGGGTTTCTAGAAAACCATGATTTTGGGCATACCTGGATACAGAAAACGTTTATCTAGGAAAATACTGTTGCTTTAAAAGATTTTTCAGATGACCATCGTATTCAGAACAGAATGGACTACATTTAGAAAAAAAATTCGAGTTTCCAGCGTAAAGCTTAAGATTTTAATTAAAATTTCAACTATTTTTAAAACGCAAATAAATCGACTCCGGTAGATGCTACAAACTTTTAAAATCCATAATTCGACAGGGAATTGAAAACTGAACAAACGTAGATATTTCTCAACTTTCGATGGAAGATATTCTAGAGATCGCTATTCTCGAAATTGCATCAAACCATCACTATTTTGGAAACACGAGGATACCGGTCTCTGAAATAACTTTCACCGAAAGTTGAGAAATATCTGCGTTTGTTCAGTTTTCAATTCGCTATCAAATTGTGGGTTTTAAAAGTTAGTTGAAATGGAATTGGTTGACCAATTCCAATTCTAATCGACAACTAATCTAGAGAAAGTTACCTCTGTTCATTTGCCTCACATCACTCGCTGATATCATATTTCTACGTTATGCGGTGCAACTATAGCTTCTCGGTCTTATCAGAAAGTTAGTACGTAGTTAGTAACTGCTTATGCAAATGAGCGAAAGAACGATGCATCAGACTAGTCTTATGTATAGAGCCGTGATTAATAATTTGTAAGAAAATGGGTGAACATCTTCGAAAATTATAGACAGCATCAACGCTATCAGCTAATCGAAACCGGCAATTCTGACCCGTCATATGCATCCCATTTTGATTCGGAGTTGTTAACTCAAAACTATAACTCAAAATCAGAAGACATCCAAAAACCCATGAAGAAATAAAACATTCATTTTTTTAAAATAAATCTTAGCCTTATCGTTTCTCTACTTTTTATTCTCGTTCATGAAATGTGCCAAATATAACCTAAAATAGTTTGCCTTCTTTCCATAAAATCCATCTTCTATTGTACAAGTTTAAAAAAAGTCTAAAAATCAGAAAGCGATCAGAAAAAATGTTTGGCAGAAAAATTCTGATAAATCACAATAGTTGACAACCATGTTTTTATTCCACTGTGATGCAAGGCATAGATTTCGTTTCCATTGCTTTCTGGATGAGACTGTAATTGAATTTTAAACTTCGTAGTATTTCTTCCATATGTTTTTTAGTTCTACGGTATATAAAAAAATGTTTAATATGATTTTTATTCGTCGAAAATGAAACGGCGAATTTTTTAAAAAAGTCAATTTAAAAACGGGGGTATTGACAGAAACAGGAGAGGCTCATTTTGTAGGAGACAATCGTTAAATGCTGAAATTTACTTCACCATGCTATGTTTATTTACCTTATGAAAATGTTGAGAGAACTCAACTGTAGGATAGTATCCTCTCTTTGTCTAACACAAAAAAATCAACAAATAAATGACAAAGCATAATATATTGATGATATAGAAGGAAGGTAAGACAAGACATTATCTGATGGTCATTGTGATACCATTTTGGTATTTTTAACATTGCAATAATATGAATATCTTATTAATTCAGTTTTATTACAATCAGCGTAAATATTGTAAAACTTCTCTAATGAGGGAACATGTTTAAGTGTTCCCCCTTCTGAGAACGAGTTAAAAAATATGCTATCTTGTAGACAAGTTTGCGCTGATCAATATCTTAACTGCTCTCGTTACAATCTGAAATAATTGAAATTTCACGTTGATTTGCTTTAGGTACTCCCTGCTATACATCACTTTTGTTAAACCGATCTTTTCTGTTGAAATGAGAAAAAAATGAAGATTAGATATAAAAGAATGATCTTTCGGTTCTAAATAGTGGTATGAAACCGATAGTAGGCACCTCAATAGTGATCGTATACTTATTTCGAGTCCTGTCTATTTTTTCCTGATTGCTAACCTAAGTGACATCTAGTAGTAGAGAGTACCCAAAGCGAACAAATGTGAAATTTCGATTTTTTCAGATTGTAAGATATTGATATTCGTGATCAGCGTAAAATACTCTACAATATAGCATATTTTTTAACTCGTTTTTTGGGGAAACTCTCACATATGTACTCTCGTAAGATCAAAATGTACTATTAGAATATTAGAAGTTCTTCAAAAATTGTCAGCAGTAAAATGTTGTTATGGATGATTGTTAGTAGAATGCAATACTCACCCTATTTTAAGAGAAATCATTTATTTACTAATAAATCAATTTTCTATGCGGAGACAATGTCCATCCGCATAAAGAAATCTTGATCGTTGAGGACTTTGATTTTTTTTTCCAAAGAAGTCATGATACTACACTGAATTTTACATTCTGAAGAGTTTGAGTATTATCATCGTGTACCATTGACACACGTGGTGTTTATTAGTGTTACAACAATCGATTATCTATTGGATTTAAAGGAGCATGATGCTTCTACTCATAAGAGCTCTGTAATGGGACTATCGAAAAGAAATTAAAATTACATCTATTAGAATTTCATTTTTCATTAAAAAAAGATTTTTAAATAAAACAAAAACAATAAAAAATAAAAATAAGTAAACAATATATAACAATTATTTCTTATTATTTTTTCATGTAATATTATAGTTCTGATTCAATTAATTTTCAATATTGTTTAAAACCATATTCTAAAGATGTTAAAAATCCTTGTCGACATAGTCACGCTTCCCTACACACATGTTTAATTAAAAGTTTCTTGAGATACAAGTATTACACCACCTTCACAGTTTTTAATTGCATGTCCTAATGCTTTAATTGTTTCCATATCAAGATGATTGGTTGGTTCATCAAGTACGAATATATGTGGACTGAAACGAATTTTTTGTCCTCCAGATAGACTCATTACAATTTATAATGTTGTATCACCGGATATATCAAATCGACCTAATTTAGCACGATATTGTTGCAATTGGTTGACCTGTCGGAAAAGGTAAAAAATAAAAAAAATACTATAAATCTAAGATTTAGTTTTAATATATACCAGGAAATCTTGACTGTAATAATTTAACACAGTTAACATTCATTTCTAATTGATCGACAAAATGTTGTGTAAAATAGTCAATTTTCAGATTACGATGACTATGTCTCATGCCTTTGAGTAGTTCTAAATCATCAATTAACAATTTTAATAACGTTTTACCTTAAACATAAAAAATTAATCAATCAAAATGAACAAAATCTAAAAGATTTATCGAACGATATAAAAGAAAACAGTCAATATCGCGAGAACTTACAACAGCCTGCTTAAGACGTTAGAAAGGATCATTTTGGGTAGAGATTAATCTGTCACAAAGAACTAATTTATTTTCTCCCAACGATACATATTCATGATGATAAATTTGCTGATAAATTACCATTTTTCAAATTATCTTTCGTCTAACCAAAAATGACATCATTTAATTGAAATACTGTTCCATTATGAGGTTCCGGTTCAGAAAAACGAAAATATTCCTCAAGTTCTTTCTCAACTGGCTTTCAACTCTGGTCTAAAAGAGATAAAATATAAAATCAGCTCCTCTAAACATATCACAATATGTTATTACAATTTTTCCAATTGTTCTATTTTGCTTTCAACTCGATCTGCATTATAACGAAAACGATGAATAAATATCTAAAAGAAGATCTTGATCATTGAAATCTATTTTATGATATCATAAAAATTAATTCATTAATGTACTTGTATGTGTTGTCAATACTCTTTTTATGCTTGATATTACGTTGTTGATTATTTTGTCGATCAATGAGAGCATTCAAAAATGTATTGTAAAATTGTCTCTAAAAAAACAAATTAATAGACAGGTATGAAAGAGGGAACTGTCATTTTTTATATTCACTTGTATGTGTTGATTTTATGAGAGTGTAAATACAAAATGTCTGTAGCAACGCTGTTTAGAAATGTGCGATCATGCGATACAACCTAAAGAAAACGTGAATAATGTATTTCTAAAATCAACGACTTGCTATTCTACAAGTAATGTACTTCTCCATGTTTGTAAATAATTTTCAAGCTTCTGAAGAGTAGACAAATTTATGGTATAGAGATGATAAAATGTCAGATTTTATTCATCAATGTCATAAGTGTATGATAAAAGTGTCTATTTTATATTTTTGATAAGGCAGATGAACTGATCATCTGGAACAAACAAAAAGACAGTTCAGCCTTAGCCACTTGAATATGTTCAAGTTCTTGATATACTTTTGTTAAACGTTTTGCAATAATTGAATCTTGAATCCCGCCACTAAAATAGTAACTATTTAATATTCGATTAAACTAGTCAAAAAACAGTCTAAGAATAGTACCCGAGAGTGTAACTGTTTTCACTTTTATTGGGCAATAACATCACAGACAACCTGTGTTAACAATTTTAGCTAAAGTAAGTTTCAATGAATGCATGAAATTTGACGAAGTACATCAACATCAACAACAACTGTGTGCTCATTGACTTGTAACCGAACAAACCTTGTTTGCAGCTTTACGTTTAATTATTTTTCTTCCATTAGTAAACTTGGCCTTTTTTCATCGCATTCCAGCACTGTAATGCTATTGTATTTGATCCTGCGACTTCCTGTTCAACATGCAGTATACGTAAATGAGATGGGAGTGAAAGACTACGGATAAAATACAAATGAATTAATTAGAATCAATGGAAGCGAACAATTGTGTACATACTTGACTATGGCACGTAATCATGTTGATTTACCTTAGAGAAGAAAGAAAACCTAGCAAAAGTTATTTCGATATTTATTGGGAGTAGTAGCTCTTCCACTTACCAAGTCCATTTTTACCAACAAAATCATATCGTCGACCGTTATGAGATCAAGTATACCAGCCAGAATCAGCATTCCAAATAAAACTTTAAAAAATAAAAAGCTAATGTGATACTACTAAACAGCGTGTTACACTGTCATTTCTCAAGAGACAATGCAAAGCATTGAACAATGCTAGGTGTTTTCAAAAGTGACAGATCTCTTGAGGGAGGGAGGACTCCTCTTTCCCACCTTTCTACCTTCGCATGCAAAAAAGTTACTAACTTTGTATGTTAGTTTTGTGAGAAAGGAGCTAGTTTCTCAAAGTTCTCAAAGATCCTCTGCAAACCTGATCTTTGAAATTTTTCAAAAATTGTTTCCGCTTGTGAAAAGTTCTGCTCAGGTCTTGGCTATCGAACAGCGAAAACCGCACGTCTCTATCTCATTCCTATCAAATAGTTATTCAAAAAGCAACCATCTGCCTTGTATTTTGGAACCGATAGCAGTTTTCGATATAAATGTTACATTCAATTGATTGTAATGTAGCGTTATAGAGAATTGTTTGTAGATATAATTCCATACAAAAAAAAGCTTAAAAACGATATCTCTGACCGTTTTCTAATTACTAATTATTTCCGATTAGCGCTAATTAGTGGTAATTCAATAGACAAAGTAAATATTTTCCTAATGTCACAACAAATGGCAGCAAATCATGCGATATATCATTCGATAGAACTTTTCGAGCTCTATCGATTGTCCGAGCCACCTTTTAAAATTCTTTCCTTTTTCATCTGAAAAATCCATTTTAAATCATTTTTCGTGTCAAAAACTGACCATTTCTCCGTTCAATAGTGAGAAATTTTTAAATAACTTTTGATCGACAATAGCAAGAGAGTTGCGGTTTTCGCCACTCGATAGCCAAGATCTCGTCGAAGCTTTATTTGACAAATGGGCTTTTCAAAACTTGTAGAAAATCCAGTTTCTCAGGAGGTGTCTGGAAAACCGCGGTCTAACTCTGAAAATAGCAGCATAAATAAGTTGATTTTTTCCATGAGTAGATAGCCCAAAGTGTTTCTTATAGATCGGATGCCAGGTGAAATCTTTATTCCCAGTGGTTCATGTGTGTATCATGTTTCTTTCGGGCCCAGCACTGGTACCCCCGGCTTCCGGTGATTTTGAAATTGCATGAAAATATACGTCTTCAGCCACGCTGAATCTAGTGGCAATCCTGGTTTTCGCGCAAAGAATTCCAGAACAGGGTTTTATGCTGCTACTTTCAGAGTTAGGTCGCGGTTTTCCAGAGACCTCCTAAGAAACTGGATTTTCTGCAAGTTTTGAAAAGCCCATTGTCAAATAAAGGTTCGACGAGGTCTTGGCTATCGAAGGGTGAAAACCGCAACTCTCTAGCTATTGTTGATCAAAAGTTCTTTGCAGCAAATTCGTAAATTCGTTGCTAACCTCAAAACTGATCACATTCTGCCACATCCAGCAAAATCAGATTCATCGGTCAGAAGATGTCGGATCTTGTCCAACAGATTTCAGAAGATGAATGCGTTTCTATGATTTTCAGTACAGTCTTGTAAGATCTTGATTTGATTTTTTGACCTGGGTAGTTTATTTCTTTTTTTGTTTCAGTCAAACGAACTAAAAGAATGATTGTATATATTGCCCCATGTGTGTTGGTATGGGAGAAAAAAATAAGGAGAGAGATACACGTTTTTCTGCCGTATCATGTCACCCAACGGGATCCTCACTCCGCGATTGCGCGAAACTAAGGGAAATAACAACACCTTCTATTTCACAAGAAATTGAAAATATTCTCGGGGAGACAAACATAGAAAGTAACTGTATTTTGGGAAAATCAAATATCTATCCAAGGCTCAGCAAATTAAAAAATAAACCACCCTCATAAAAAACAACACTCTCACTTCGATTCTAAAACTGTCAAGAAGAAAATAGTTCAACTTTGTGACAAAAAAATTTATTTTCCTCTCCGAATGCTCTTCCCCCGAAAACTGCTGTGTACTTACTGATGACAATAGTCAAACAGTTAGTCTATTTTCATTAACCGCAACAAAACCCCCAAAACACTTGGAGAAAAACACTCGTTGAACTCCGTTAAAAAGTTAAGAAATGACTATAATTAACTTGTATTGTGTATCTATTACATATGTTAAAAGAGAACAAAGAATAAACACAGTGGATGATAATATACGCACACTGTCTGTCTGTTTTTCTTATAAATATAACATCGTTACAGACTGAGATAAAGGAAAATACGAAGTCAGTGTGATCCTAGTTTCGTGCAAGGATTGATTTTTGTCTTTGATAGTTTAAGGAACAGAAAGATAGAGTACTAAAAAATATCCTCAAGATCTTGTCTCAAATTAGCAACGATCTTGCTATAATCTTGCGGCGATCCCGTCACTGTCTTGGAACACAAATGAAACGGGATCGCATAACGAACTCACGATTTTATTTGGCCAAGATGAACATTTTTTCGTTACACGAGAAAAAATCGGGTTCGCGATCAGATCTCAACAAGAATGGAACGGGAATATCACTAGGGTAAGCGAACCCAAGACTGTAAGTTAATTGTGCAGCAGTTCCATGATTTTGTTTCATATTTGATCAAGAGGCCAAATTAATTTAAACGCTTTTTCTTGAAATCCATTCAAATTCATGGATGTTTCAAAAGGTTTTACATTATTTGGCATTTCTGATATGAAACAGATAGAGCATGTGTATGTATGTTGATGGTCAGCTGTTTTTCATTACACATATTTCGAATTTGAATTTGAATACGTGTTTTAATACATGATGTTGGTGGAGATTCATTTCGACATTGGAATGATAAATTATATGCAATTTACATTCCCTTTTGGAAACATTATTATTTGAATCGAGGAAAAAACTATGATACAAACTGTGCATGTGTCGTCTTATGCGATGGTCACCAGAAGCGAAATGGACTCGTATGTTCTTTCAAAAACGTTTATGATACAACTGTACCAGAATTAGCGCTAGTTCTTATTAGTTGTATGGAAATCCTTTGTCAACCAAACGGTCTTAAACTCATTTAACCGAATTTGTTCTCTTTTTGTATTTAAAATATAACAAGAAATATTTTTTCAAAGATAATCAACCACAGTCAAATATTCAACACACTCAGTAGCATCGACAACATCAGCACGAAATGAACATAAAACATCGTCAACGCAATCAATATTATTATCATTGTTATTGAAGAAACATTCACAGCACTAATCTTAAAAACAGCTGCAATTGCGTTTCTAAAACCAACGTTACCTACATTCTATATTTTATAAGCAACGAGTATGCTTCTGTAGTACTAACAAATAATGCTGTAATAGTGACTTGCCCGGCAATAAATCTATTTCCAAAAGTTACGCTCAACTTTACCGACGCTTATAAAGACAGAAAAGACTTTACTTAAAAGCTTTACTTAAAGCTTTACGTCGTATAACTCCAGTATGACGTAAGCGCTTCAACTCATGTTGAACAATTCAAGAAACATACACCATAATCACACAAAACAACAGACAAAGAAACAGGAAACCTTCCACAAAAACACAAAATCACGCTGCTTCCGAAGTGTACTAGAGAACGACTGTTCCATCTTCTTGCAACGACTCTCCAAGTGCTTAAGCTCCTCTATCGGATATTTGGTTGTTATTAAGATCAAGTTGAGTGAGAGTGTTGTTTACTTTCAGTGCTTCTGCTAGTGCTTGACCTCCTCTGTCGGATATATAGTTGTGCGCAAGATCAAGTTGAGTGAGAGTGTTGTTTACTTTCAGTGCATCTGCTAGTGCTTTACCTCCTCTATAGGATATTTGGTTGCCCGCAAGATCAAGTTGAGTGAGAGTGTTGTTTACTTTCAGTGCTTCTGCTAGTGCGCCACCTCCTCTATCGGATATTCCGTTGTCCGCAAGATCAAGTTGAGTGAGAGTGTTGTTTACTTTCAAATCGTTTGCAAGCAGGCAAACGGCGGTGGCAGAATTACGAACCGTCGTGTCCTGGCGGCCGCTGAGTTCCATAATCAGTCTTAGTGACGACAGTTGTGTCATACAAGAGAAGTGCGGCAACACGACTTTGATCACTTGTTCTGCTTTGATTTGGAACAAGGATAAAGAGCGAAGATTTGCCAATATGTTCTTGAGAAAGAACAAGTCAACATAATCGGAGGTGTCTCTAGACAGACACAGAGAACGAATTTGTGCTGTTGATGGAAAGTGTTCCGAGATAAAGTCACATCTGGATTTGGTGATGCATTGAAAGTTCAGATCAAACTGTAGGCTGCCAAGTAGTCCATCGAAACGATCGCTTAATCCGAGGAATGAGTGGAGAATATCATAAGCATGCAAATATTCAAAGATTTCAAGGATCACTTCATTCGCAAGTGATTGAAATTGTGTCACGTCTTAACAAATATGCATTATCAAGAGTTTGAATTCTTGGTCTCTCTTATATGAAGAAAGCCTCTGAAGTGTGAAGAAGGGAGAACGGCAAGGCTGATACTTAGTCTCGAAGATGGATAGCAGTGTCAGATCAAGTTATGGTTCGTGTATTAGGCATGGTTCCGTCCTCCCAGTCGAATATGGATGGATGGCCAGCCATTAGCAGTTTAGTACGGTCTGGACCGTGGATGTCATATCTCTTTCCACTATTCTCAACACGTTGCAATCATCAGATGTATATGTGCAGCGATGAATGTAGTTGAAAAACTTCTGCTGAGTCAAGATAGTCTCTAGCAAACGTTTTACCCGAGAAGCTCACAATGAACGTAAAAGGTGACAAAAATCCGTTGATTGATAGCCTTGTGCCTAAGTTATCTCATATCTTGAGCAGTATATCTATCCTCATAAGAGATGGGCACGGATACCGTTGTTCTATCCGTTTCCGATGCGAAAACGTTTTTCGCCGGTACCGAACCGTTACGTTCTCAAGGAACTCTTTTAAAACGTCCCAGATAAAATCTTGGATTTTTAGCGATCAATGGTAAGCGATGAAATCGACCCAGCGTTTTCCAGATTAGGCGTGTGCGCGGACAATGGGAAAATCGAGGAAGCCACACTGTTAATTAACGCATTTGATCAAATTATCCGCGATACACGTACAATAGCACAAACGGCCGTTGACATAACGAAAGCGAAATTAGCGATACTCGGATGTACAACCGGTAATCGATATCCAATATTAATCAAATAATGGTCATGTCAAAATAGTCTGGAAGATTTACATAATCCATTTTGTTACATCGCATTGCCTCGTGTTAATGGCATCGTGTCTGATGGCTATGACTGTCATAAATGAAAACAAAATGTACAGAAAGCTTTTCACTTAAGATCTTGCAACATCTTGAGTAGATTCACTCCAGATCTAGAAATTTCTGTTCCCGAGATCTTGAGCGGAAGATTCAAGAATCCAAAATCTTGACTTCTTGGTGTTTTCTCCAAGACCTTGGACAATATCTTTGGTACTAGAAGTTTCACTACTGTAGTGTGACAAAACAGCTATCGGACGAACAATTAGATGATTTTTGTCATTCAGCCTGTACGTATACGTTCAGTAAAATAGCCAACCGTTCGGTTGCTATTGAATCAGATAAATCAATAGCATACCCCAGTGGAAATTTTGAAGCCTACAAAGCTTCAAAACTTTTGTTACATGGCATTTTGGGTGATGGTGCAACGAAATGACAGAATAATATTAGAAGGTAAAACGACATTTTGAACGTGCACATAGGCTTTATCATATGCTCCAGCTACTTTTCCAGCATCTAAAACTGAATAAGTTCAAAGAAAATTGTCTTTTTACCGTGAAATGAAGGTTTTACAAAACTAATTTTTGGGATGTGGGCTGCTGTCCGTGCTTTGCCTCGAACACGCGGATTTGTAGTGTATATATTTTCTAAAG